CCAGCAGTGCCGGCTGAGCCCCAGGGTCTCACACCCATCCTCAGACCTCACCAGTTGGTGCGGACCAGTCACCACTGGGTTGGGTCACAAGGGAGCCCCAGGAGCCACCCTGCATGGGTGACAGCCCAGCATCATGGCCCTGGTCACATCCCCGGCTGGGGTCCCGCAGCACATCCCACCAAGGAGGTGGTGGCCAGAGAAGGGGGCCCAGACTCTGGCTGGGGGGCACTGAGCCTTGCTTTCCTCCTGCAGCAGCTTTTCCTCACCCTGTTGCAGTCCCCAAACTCATCCGTCCACCCCCAAAGTGGTGGCCGGAGCACCCACCTCTCGCCGTGCCATGGTGGACATCCCCAAGTCCTCTCTGAATCTGCCTCCCTGGGGCAAGGCCACACCAGATTTGGGCCAGGAGCTCCTGGTTCAGCCTCGGCGCTGGTCGGAAACCTTGTGGGAGACACACGCTGACCAGGGAAGGGGGACAGCCCCCACACACACACACAGCTTGCCTTTCACCATCAGCAGGAGACAAAGGTCTGCAAAGCTGCTGGAGCAACCCGCAGCCTGGCCTCCCCCGCTCCCCCACCGAAACCCAAAACCACCTATTTTTGTCTTTTCCTTTCTCCTCCTCGGGAGGTTTCCAGCCATCAAATCCTTCCTGGGAGCCCTTCAAAGGAAAAGTGGCCGCCCCATCCACTTGCTAAACCAGTCTGAGCAGTGCCGGGCTGGCAGGCAGGAGAGGCCCCCAGCACCCCCCTGCCTGGTGCAAGCCGGGACCGGGAAAGGGACAAGAAACTGGCCAGAGGGACCTCGGGTGACCCCGGAGCAAGGAGACGGACGAGCATCGCACCCCGTGGGACGAAGGCATGGCCACCCCATTGCGTACCCCAGGGAGGTGGGGATGCCACCAGCCAAGCAGGGACCCCCCGGCAGGCTGCAATCCCCCACGCAGGCACTGCTTATCCACGGCGGGGAAGCGATTTTAGGCTTGCTAAATTTTTTAGCCTGGCTGTGACATAAGGAAAGGCCAAGGAAAAGGGCAGCTGGGTGATGGGGAAAGAGCCCCAAGGAGCTGGGGAGGCCCCCAGTGTCCCCAGCCAGGCAGTGCTGGAGCACAGGGAGGTATCACAGCCCCAGGCAGGGAAATTCAGCAGCTACCCCAGGCTTTCCTAGGAGAGGAGGAGGGCGGTGAGGAAGCAGAAGAGCCTGAGGCTTGAGGTATGTTTCCAGGACAAAGGGCAGGGTGGAAGGAAGGGGAAGATATCTGCCTTCCTCCCCCTAAAAACCCAGCCTTGGACCTTTGCCAAACCCAGAAAACAACTGGGGGGGGGCAGTCCCCATGTTCCCACCTGGGCTGCTCCGGCCCCGCGCTGCAAGGATGGACATGGGGGTCCTGCAACAGGGTCTGTCTCACCAGCCCCACACAAAGCACAAATAAATGCAGAACAAGGGAGACACAATATATACAGAGGGGTTTTAACTATCTGCCCTTCCTGACCCCCGCCGGCAGAGGAATGCCCAAAAAATAAAAGCAACAGCAAGAGCTATAGCAAAGCCCAGACCTACCCCAACCACAGGGAAACCCCTCCGACACCCACCGAGGGAAAAGCCAAGCTATGAGCACAACCCCACCCAGCCACTGGAGAATCCACCCACAGGACATGGTGCTGGGTGACCCCCTCACACCAGAGGGTCCGGTGGCCCTGGGGCCACTGAGGGGCTTTGCCAAAGCTCAGGCACCACTAGCCCCAAGAACGGGGGTGGCACAGACTTTCCTGGTGTTCATCTTGCTCTTGGCCTGGGCACAAGCAGGGGCTGATGGGGACTTCTTGGTGGTGTTGGTTGGACATCAGGAAGGTACTGGAGGCCATGTGGGAAAGTCATCTGGGGAAGGTCATCCAGATTCAGCCCTACTGTCCCCAAAACAGGTCCCGCATGGCTTCAGGGTCAAGAAGCTTTGCCGACTGCTGTCTGCAGCTTTGCCATGGACGTCATGAGATGCACGTCCCCACGCGTGGGGCACGGTCAGGGCCAGCAACTCCCATGGGAGCGACAACCCAGCCAGCAGGCCCAGGGCAGTGGCCAGGTTCACAGGGATGAGGCAGGTCCAAGGTCAAGCTGGAGAGCCAGCAGGGTCCACAGCTGTGGTGGGGCTGAAACAGCTACAACAGCTCAGAGAAGAGCTAGAGGCCCCAGGCTGAGCTTAAATGGGCTCCTGGGCGCATAGGTGTGGTGTGGAGGTCTCAGGTGAGGCTGCTTAGAGCAATTAAGGCCAAGTAGTGCCCTCAGGGCTTTACACAGGAGAGCAGGCTGGGACGATGCAGAGCTTCATGAGATGATATCTTCATGAGATGATGATATCAACCCCTGGGAAGGGGTTAGCCCCCTGCTGCCTTTTCGGCAGGACCTCAGCGTCTTCTTCAACAGCGGGGCAATGCCCATACTGGAGAGAGGACCAATGTCCCTTTGCCACAGGACCCTGTGTGACTCTCTCACACACACACACACGAGCCCACAACTCTGTGCCTCCTCCCAAGACCTGGGGACTTCACCCCACCTTCCCACCGCCCACCCCAGACTACACGGACAACTCATCCGCCCGTACGGCTTTGCCCTGCTAAGGGACCGGGGGATGCTGAGGTCCAGCGCCGCAAAAGGTCTCCTAGAAGCAGGAGAAAGGATGAAGGAGGTGAAATCGGAGCTGGATGGAACACGGGGGTCCCACAAAGTGGGGGGGTGGACCAAGGGCTTCCCAAGCCCATCCATCAGCAGCGGCGAGGCGAGCGGGTCCGGGCAGGAGGGATGTTTGCTCAGAGGCTGGAGTGTTTGCCTCACCTCGATAATAACACTCGGGCCGTCACGCTCCAGCCAACCACCCAGCCCCGGCTGTACGCGGGAGAGGCAAAGTGGGACAGACGGACAGAGGGACAGGCAGCTGGCGGCTTGTTTGGTGGTGGTACGAGGGCAGAGCTGGCTCGGCAGGTTCCAAGAGCATGGCCCCAGATATTGCGGGGTGTCCCCAGGCCACGACGGGCTGGGGGAAGCAGCTCTGCATGAACTGGGTGGCGTCGGAGGGCGCTGCCTGCAGAGACACCCCCCCTCCCCGTCTCCCCCCCGTCACCAGGGTAAATATTTACGGCCGCTGGGGCCCGGCAGCGGCTCCTCTGCACGGAGACATTGCAAAACCCAGAGCACGTTTGCACGGAGCTGTAGCAGGTCTGGGCTCCCCCTCGTCAGCCTCCTCCTCCTCCTCCTCCTGCCAGCCCCCAGTGAGCATCCATCACCCCGCAGGGCCGCCGCCATCACACTCGCTGTTGGGAAAACAGGGGGAACGGGGCTGGAATGGGGGGGAAAAAGGCACTTTGCCCCAAAACCGAGTTCCAGCCAGCATGAGCTCATCCAGTGCCGGCACCTGAGAAAAGCAGCTGACACAGTTTTCCTCCCTGGGGGTATGACAAAGCCATGGTCGGCAGCTGGGGGGGGTGACGCGGGGGGACACGGGTGCCATGTGCCACCCCGGCTGCAGCCAGAGGTCTCTCTGTCATCAGTGCAGTGAGTTTCTCCCCCACCAGGTCTCAGCACCCCTTCTGGGTGCAACCCCAGCTCTGTCCCAGCCACCGACACTGCTAGCACCCTTGCAGGGGGACACAGTCATTTCTCTTGCTTTCCTTGTTAATTTGGGAGAGAAAACAAGCGCTTTTACAGAGGGGTTCGGGGCATGCCGAAGTTGAACCCTGCCGGGCCGGGGGGCCGTTCTTTCCCAGCGCTCCACCACCTGCGTGCGAGCGTTTCTGCATCTCCCCTCGCAAAGCCCGGCGCCGCAGGGTGCCAGCGCAGCCTCCTCCCGGGGTCCGGTTCAGGTTTGGGTGCAAACAGCTGGAGGGTTTGATATGCTAAAGCCCAAACCTCAAGGCCACACCAATCGCCTTGAGTTTTTTCTTGGCCGAGAAATCGTCTCTTCTTCTTGCTGCTCCCGATTTGCTCCTCCGACAGCCGATTGCCCTCGCCCAGCGCGGTCCATTGGCGCCACCGGCTGCACGAGTGCTGCTTTTAGCCCTAACGCTGCACCGCGCCCACGCCGCCAGCAAGACACGAAACGATATTTTGGGGTGCACACCCCCCCCCCCACCTGCAGCATTGCCCGGTCACCCCCCAGGGACCAGCGAAGGGCACCC